CCTCCCGTGGCGGCATGCACGGAGGCACACACGTCCTGGAGGGTGGGCCCCTCTGCTGGGCTCAGAGACGACAGAACCTCCACACTGTGGAAGAACTGATACACAAATGCAAGGTAAGTAAGGAGATGGCAAGAGAGCGCCTGCATCATCTGGTCCTGACGGTCACAAATGGGAAGCAAACAAGAGCACCAAGACAGCTGAGAGGTGGCTGCAGAACACACCAATGAGGAGGCGGCGCCTGCAAAGGCTGGGCGGGGGCGGCGGTAGAAGATGTGGTGAAAGCTTGTTCTCTCGGCCTCCAGCAACTGGGGTGCACTTTACTGCTCCCCAGCAATTCCTGAGCGAGACAGAGCCTACCCAGTCCGACACGCCGCTGTTTTTCCAGAGGAACACACGGTGCTCGGCACTCCTACGAGTCAGTGTGCAGAATGGTCAGAGATACACTTATTTTCCCTTTGTTGTTGCTTTAGACCAATGATTTTATTAAGCACAGGGAACGTGGGCAGAGGTCCCTTGCACTGATGAGCAAACCGTCTGTAATTTATAGCATTAAAAAAATCCCCAGAGGTACCAAGAAATCAAGAGCTCTGTTCATGGCTACAGGACTCACATCAGGTTTCTGATGCCGAGGTGGGCTGGCCCACTACCTACTGCACCACCTGACCCCTCTCATTAATTAGCATGAGCTCCCAGAGACCAGAAATGACATCGTGTACTCCTCTGTATCTTCCCCAAAGGGCCCAACATACTGACGTGTCCATAACGAATACCCAACAAACACTTGTTCAATATGTAAAAAAATCAAATAAGTAGTAAAACTGTGATTACGCCAGGAAAGTGAGGAGGAGGAGGACGCTGATCAAGGAAGAAAGAGCAGAAACAAATTGAATTTAGCACCTTGGATCCTTGCAATAATAAAACTTGACCAAAACCTAGTCTAGAAAAGTTACTAGAGCCTTAGGTCTTAGAAGGACCACAATCTAAAAATATCAACTCTCTCTAGAACCAAAGAATGTTAGGCTGAACGTTCAGCTTAGGTTATCTTGCTACATTTCTTCCTGTAAGTAAATTCTGACTTTACACAGATTCAAAACCTATGTGTGACTTTGTATTCCCTGATTTTCTGTCTTAGGCAAAACTGCTGTTCCATCTGTAATGTGTCAAATTCCCCTCTAGTCTCTTACAAGATGCTTTGCAGTTATCTTATTTCACGACCACTCGGCTTAGTAGAAACAAGAGACAATATGCTGGAAATTAAAATCCCCAAATATGAAGTCAGGGTTGGAATGGAAGGGTGGGAAAGGAAGGGGGAGAACCCCAGCCCTGGGTTCACATTCTACCTGACCCTGTGCAAGTCCCTTAACCTCCAGTCCAAGACCAGAAGAAGCAGGGTAGCTGTTAGCATCACATGCAAAAAGGCAAGCATGACCTCTGAATTACTGACTTGACTTTCCTATTCACTCACTAAGGGACTTTTTATATGCAGTCTATCCCAACAAGTGTAATCGTGAAGCATTACTACAGAGTAAAGGATTGCTATGCTCACTTTGTTCATTATAATGATGGGCCCCAATTAACAATGATGATGATAATACCTAACATTTATAAAGTGTTTATTGCTTGTAAAGCGCTAAGTACTTTACAAATATTACCTCATTTGAGCCTCACATCAACCCTAGGAAGTAAATGTTATTATTATCCTCACTTTACAGATGAGGAAACAGAGACAGAGCTTCAGTGATTTGCCCAGGGTCACACAGCTAGTGTTTGAGGCTGGATTTGAACACAGGTCCTCTTACTGACAGAGCCCACGGCTCTCCATCCACTGTGCCACCTAGCTGCCCCATTAGGAAGTGTCATCCTAGACAATAAATGCGATTTATACTGTGGGGATCTCACTATTAAAAAATTAGTTGTTCTTAGCCTATTTCTCAGGTACTTCAAGGTACTGGAGACAGATGAAATGAACCTCCCAGGTGGGGAGGAGGAGGAGCATCCCATACCTAGACTATGCACTGGGCTTGGCTCCTGGTACTCTGGCATTCCATGGGGACAGGATGGTAAAGGATTGTTATTTTATCCAGCAGCACAGGAGGTGGTGATCAAGAGGCCTCCAAGCAGGTCCTTGAGAGGGGACCCTTCCAGACTCAGGGATGTGTCTGAGGGAACTCGACGAGACAGTGCCCTTGGAGATAACAGACTCTGGGGCAGGTGCAGAGTGTAAACAAAGGCCCCCAATGGAACAAGCACAGACTCTGCAGACAGTGGATGCGGGTCCTCACTGCCGCTGAGGCTACTTGTACGGATGGCTGTGGGCATGCCACTTCATTTCCTCCCTGTGCTTCACTTTCCCTATCTGAAAAATGCCTTAGAGATCCCTTTCCAGCTCAATATCTACCTTCACCAGGATCCAGACAATGTGGGACAATGTGGAGCTAAGGCCCTGATGGATTCAGGGAGTGGTGCAAATATTCCTTCCACTGGAGGTAGCATGCTCCAGAGTAGGGATGACAGGAGGAATAGGTGGGATGATAGGAACTGTGGTGTTAGAGGACATCCCCAATTAGAGGGTTTGGGGCTGAACAAGTCTGGGGATCTTCTGCCTTCTCTGCAGTTAATGCTGTTCTTTTACAGATTTCCCACGTTGACAGCTTCTTTAAAGAAGCCAGGCCGGAGCTGTCCTGCTCTTCTCCAGGGGCGACGATTTTGGCCTCTGATGTGATGGCAAAAACAGGAGCTTGGGACACTTCCCATCAAGAGAGTGTATCTCACTTTCTTCTAGTTCATTCAGTGTTGGTCACATCCAGCACTTTTCAAGCTTCTTCAAGTGGCAAGCTTGTGGATCCTGGCCTGATCTCCCCTATATTGAGGCCTGATCTACACGGGCACTAAAGATAATGCAGAGCTAAGGAGCCCAGGAAATCCTACCACAGTCATCAGTGCATGTTGCCTTACTTTGGAGAACTTGATTGGTTTTGTCATGGGATTTTCTCTACTACATTTTCTTTTTCTTTTCTTTTTTTTTTTTTTAGTGAGGCAACTGGGGTTAAGTGACTTGCCAAGGGTCACACAGCTAGTATCAAGTGTCTGAAACCGGATCTGAACTCAGGTCCTCCTGACTCCAGGGCTGGTGCTCTATCCACTGCACCACCTAGCTGCCCCTCTTCACTACATTTCTGCCCCTGCCTTCATGGTGGTTATTTGATAAGGCACCTCAATACTACAAGCTGAGCTGACAAACTGACCCATGAAATTCTTTGTCGTTGTCACTGGTGCACAATAAAACCAACCCTCCTAACAGGGAGGAAAGAGAGCCTGGGAACTGTCTGTCCAGTTAACCACCATCTCTTTATAAGGAGAATGTCAATATGAAGGGGTTTTCATTTTTCCAGTAGTTTAGCAATTCACCAGAGAAAAATGGGATGTCAAACCTAGTAATAAGTAAATCAGTGTTCATAAACCATTTAAGAACTGCCAGAAAAGCATTTTTTAAAAAATTTAATTTAATTTTTAAAAAATTTCCCTGAAACACAATATCCAGACATATTCTGAGGATTGAGTTTCGTGGCTTGGCTGCGGGAAGTGGTAAAGAAGGCTTTGCTAACTAATTCTAAGCCAGATATTCCATTTGTTTAGGAAGCAGTGCTCTGAAGAGTAGGCCTGAATTCAAACAATGGAAAACTTGTATGAACAAATGCAGAATAAGATAAAACCAAAAAAACAATACAAAGAGCAATAATGATGTAAACTTAACAACTAAAATGAAGCCAAAGGCCAGGTCATTCTAAGCACCCATTTCAGTCCCAGAGATGAAGAGATGCCCTGTCCTGGAGCATCTGTGCTCATAGACTGACTGTTCCTGTCAAATATGGGCACTACATTGGGTTTGTTCTGCTCACCTGTAACAAAGAAGGCTTCTCTCAACCTCCGGCGCTGGGGGTGAGGAGTGGGAAAATCTAGAAATGACTGATCCAAATGAATACAAAAGTCAAAAACTAAAATGGAAAGAAAGACATAATGTTTTTCTGCCATGGGGTGACAAACTTCACAGCACCCCCCCCCCCAAAGGAAATAGAAAATATTTCTCAAAAGCTGAAGTTTTGCTTAGGCAGATGAGGGATGTTTGTGACACTGCTTCCAAAAATGATTAGAAACTCAACTGAAGTTCATAGTAAGACTGTGGATTTAGAGCGTGAGTTTTCTTTTATAGCTAAACTAGCCAAGGACCCATCTGTGTTGTAAAAGACAATCTCAAAGGGTGAATCAGCTCTCATTAATCATTCAGTTCAGTTACCACACTATGAAAACGATCTCTTGGAAAAAACTCTTCTTCACACTATACTATGGAAAGATTCATCAGCATGAGCCAAGGCTGAAGACATGTCACCAAAGCGGAGCTTTTCAAAGCCCCACAATCTCCTTCAGTTTTGAAAATCATCATTGTGTAAAACGAATCACCCCCACCCTGCAAGCTGCAGCCAAAATGAACAGAACATTTTTCAGGTTACAAAATGCTTTCTGTGAAGTAATACTATAGAGTTTCTCTATTTGACAGGTAAAGAAACTGAGGTTCTGAGAAAGTGCACGCCTTACCTATGGCTACATGGCGTGTGTGTGTGTGCGCGCGCGGGCGTGCGTGTGCTGGGGGGGGGTTTGCACCTGAACTAAGATTAACATATCATGCTACTTCACTTAAATAAGTAGAGGAAATATGCACAATTTGAAAGATCTTCATGATTTTTATACTACATATCCCTTTCAAGGAATAAGAGAAATTTAATAGGACAGACTTCAAAGCCCAACTCCTCTGAAAACAAAATTTAATAGTTTAAAAAAAAACACACCACCTACTAATTAAGGGGATTTCTATATGATTGCCTGGACTATTTCCTTAATTCAAGAGGTGTAACAAATCGTCTGTGAGAGGCTCACTTTAAAGGACCTCAGTAAAAAGCACACATGGATTAATCCTTAGCTGAAAAAGGCAGGTGGTCACTCACCTATGTAGACCCTCTTGCTGTATCTCTGCATCAGCAATAACACAAAGACGTGCAGTGGAATAAGGTTTATAATAAACACATAACCGCCCCATGCAGAGACCTGGGAGGAAAAACAGGTTAAAACGAGATGATTGCATAGTTGACTAAAACACTGGAAAACTCTTGGTTAACTCCCTGATGCTCTAACCAAGTGATAAACAGATTATTATGAAATACTTGAAATTTGAATATTCCACTGGGAAGAAGGTTAAGCAGCTTTTAATAAACTTTATATAGTCATCCAGTACACAAACCCCAAGGTATTTTTCTTTAGTCATTAGAGAACTCAGATTGTGATTCACAGGTAATTTGCTTACGGGTACATAACTTGAAGGGATAAAAAGAACTGGGAAACAAGAAAAAAGATGGCAATTATTTTCACTTAAGGTGAAAGCATATGTGAGCTGTTAAAAAAAAAACCCTTACAAAAAACTTGATTTGCTTTTCATTTCCTGGCATATTATTGCCAAGAACACAACAGTGTTTCAGAATGCTGCAATGTGTCAACCACTTGGTCAACAAGAGGACTGTGAGAGCTGCAAACTGGTCAAGACTAGCATAATCGACTGTTTACCTAGGAGAAGTTTCTCCACCGCCCAGAAAAACAACTGAAGGCAAAATTCTAGTTTGAGACTTGGTCTTCTGGACCATTTCCACTCTGACTGCTAGGGAGACAGACCAGTCTAAAGGAAGTCCACGTGCACTTTCAAATAAACAATTTTACTACATTCTTACTTGCGGCCAAGTAGAGGTCCATCCCTTTAATGGAGAGATAAGAATAACTTGTAACCATCTGAATGACAACCAAGTGGAATTATTTTAAGTAGGCCAAGCACTCCCCTCAAAATCTTAAATTCACAAATTATGTAGTTAACAAATTCTTTGTTCACAGATAGAATGGTCAACTTTACCTCAAGCTGTCATGCTCCCAACTCTAAATGTAGAGTTACAAGTTTAATACATGTACCACAGGATGTAAGCACCTCATTATTAGCAAACTGATAATGCATCAAACTTTTTAAAAGTCACAATTAAAATCCCTAAAAACACCAAGACAGGGCAGAACTATAGAAAACACAAGTCTGATTTGACCACTAGGAAAGCATCTTTGTGTCCCAGAAGCTTCTGGTCTTCAGAACCATCACCTTGATATCGGACTACCCATGAGGATTCATCCTTTCCTCCTCACTCAGCCACCACTAGAGTCTGAACCCTCCCTGACTCTGGCAGGGACGATTGTAATCGCTTCCTAACTTGGCTTCCCAGGCTGCCTGTCCCTCCCTCTCGAATCCATCCTCCACAGAGCTGCCCAGTAGAGATTCTGTCTAGGTCCCCTGCTCAAGAGGCTCTACTGGTCCTCCTTGCCTCTAGGACAAAATACAAAGGTCTCCTCCCTCTGTCTTTACAGCCCTTCATAACTGAGCTCTATCTCTCCAGGGTAAGCTCACAGTCTTCTCGTACTTCCGCATGCTCCAGCCAAACTGTCAAGGTGCTGGCCCCATGACTGGCCTGTGCACGAGGTAACATCTCCTCCTCCCCTCCCCCATGTCACATCAAAAGGGTCCTTAAAGACTTTAAAGTGCCACCAGCAATGTGGGACCTAGCCTACTGCTCCTGGTCACTACCGTCTTCTCCCCTTACTCTGTATGGACTTCAAATGGACTTTTTCTTGTATCCATAACGCACTCTCATGCTAGACATGAGCTACTGTCATTTCTGTCTAGTTGATAAATACTTCCTGATTTTGCTGGCATGCTATAAATGAATGAATCAATACATAGAAATAAATAAGGGAGTAAATGAATGAATGAATAAATAAATATTTGAACAGATAAATAAATGCTAGAATAGCACAGGGCCAAGAACAAACCTGAAAACAAACCTTGTAACTTCTCTTGGCCTCAGTTTTCTCTTCCGTAAAATAAGCAGGCTGGACCAGAAGCTCCCTAAAGTCCCCTCTCTGCTTCAGCAGTTCACTTTACTTGTTGCCCCTAATTTCTGCCCTTCTACATAGCTAGAGCGGTGGGTGTTTCTGGAATTTTTTCCATCCCCTTCCCCTTACATTTCAAAAGTCTTTTTTGGTCAAATTTTCAAGACTCCAGGTACGTATGATATAATGACAGAGTAAGAGCTTTACTAGCTCTAATTACATGAACTTCATTTCTGTTTTTCGTAAGTTATGGTTCAATAATCCAAATAAGACAAAAAGAAATCTTCTGAACACAAAATTCATTTCTCCAAACTGCCTTTGTCTTCTGAAATCCTTGTTTTTGGATGGCAGCTATGATTAAAAAACAAAACCAAAAAAAAAACCTGTCTCTGCTCCATCTTCTGTTTACTTTCTAAGACCTGATAACGCTTAGGAGAGCTGGCTCCATTTCTTCTGGAAGTATCACTTGCCAGGATGTTACAGACCCAAAGGGGAGCAGCACCTACTGGGTTGGACATGCCTTGAGAAGGCTTCCATCACTTCCAGTCTCGTGCTCCACCAGATCAAAGACACCCCTCTTTTCCATTTCCAGCTGACAGCCAGCTGGGTGCTGCCATGCACTGCACTCGTCTCCTTCCTCTGAGCGTAATGTACCTGAGAGCGCTGGGGGAGCTTCACTGATGAGTGCCCCAAGAACACAAGCAGCAGCGTTCTCCTCACAAGGACCCAGGGTCCCCTCTCATAGCTACCCTGTGCCCTAGTGTTCTGGAATCTTCCTGTCCTTTTCCACCTCTGCCACATTCTTAATCTCCTGCTGCAACTTAGAATTCCCTTAGTCCTCTTCAGACTCTTGGCACCCTAATTTAACCACTGAAAATAAGAAGGGACTCCCTATAACCTGAGGGGTGCTGGGACATGGACCTTTATCCCCTTTCACATCTCTTTTAGGAGGGAGACCAGTTTACATTTCTGCTGTTACGGTCAATTACCTGTTACTTTATATTCAAAAATTCCCCAATTCTTGTCATACTGGCTAGAAAGAGGGTTGCCTCAAGTATTCTTGCTGGAGGTCCTTGGGGCAAAGGTCCCACTTGTTCACCACCAACACTTGGTTTGGTATTTGCTTTCTTTATGTGTTTATGGATACATGGAAACCTTTCTTTCTTGATGCCCCTACGCTGAGCACAGCATTGCCCACAGGCCATAATCAATGCTCAATAACTGGTTGATTAAGGAACACCAAGTACTTAATGATATACCACAGTCGCCTAAATATGCTGAGAACAAAAACTTTCTCCTTACAGCCTATTTGGGAGAAAATTTCACGTGAATGAAAAGAACAGATCTAGGAATAAAAAAAAAATTCCCCCTTAATTCTTTCCAAAAAAAGTTCAAGTCACCAGCAAAATGTCACCAATTCCCCACTTAAGAAGAATATGCCTGTTTCATTTGCTAAAGAGATTAGACTCCATATTTAAATTCAAATGTCTTACCATATAGAAGTAGGATAAACAGCAGCATATTGTCCAAGAGACCGATCCGGTTTTTACAGATTTCACCTAAAACAAACAAATAACAAGTTAATTCAAACTAGAACACAAGGAGAGAGGAAGAAATCGATAAAATTTATGAAGGGCCTACTAAAATACAAGGCACTGAAAACAGAAATGCAGAAAATGAAACAATTTCTACATTCAAGCAAACCAGGGAGTAGAAAAAGTATAGCTGTAAAATGTCCCCATTCCCATGGGTGGGAAAAATTGCCAACCTTTCTCTATAAAAAAGACATGGGTTACCTAACACAGCAATGCCACTAATGCCCCATGAACACCACAGAGGTCACACACTGGAAGGTGTGGACTGATGCAGCAGGCTCATCCAATTTTCAAAAAACCACAGAGCAAAATTTTCTTCAAGACACTTTGACATATTGATTTTGATATTTCAAAAAAGCCTTTTTTTTCCCTTTTTGGATTTCATTTTAACAGTTACTGTGTTAAATCATTTTGAGAAGTACAGGGACACTTTATAAATGAATGTCAGATGAAGTACAAACCTGGAAAGTCAATGAAGAAACTTGATTTTCCTCTTTCCATCCCTCAAATACACCACACAGCACACCACACACCGTGCACATTAATAAATGTCTGTCCAATGAGTATCGAGCAACAAGCATTTACTACGTACCTACTAAGAACTAGGCAATGTGCTGGGATGAAGCAACCCCTACCTTCAGGGACCTTTTCTGTTGTCGCTGTTTGCTGTTGTTCAGTTGTTTGACTCTTGTGACCCCATTTGGGGTTTTCTTGGCAAAGATCTTGGAGTGGTTTGCCATTTCCTTCTCCAGATCATTTTACAGATGAGGAAACTAAGGCAAATAGGATGAAGTGACTTGCTCAGGGTCACATAGCTAGTAAGTGTCTGAGGCCATATTTGAATTCAGGTCCTCCTGACTCCAGGCCTCACATTCTATCCAAGTGGGCCACTCTGTTGCCTCTCAAGGATCGTACATTACAACATTTTACAGACACAGTCCGTAGTGCCAATGTCATTCTTCATTCACACACAAGATTATTTCCTATGTTTCAGGATGAAATCTGTTACAGAAGTGACTATACCACCAGAAAATGACGAACTTTTTTAGAGAAAGTAGAGCCTATGCCTATACAGTTGACAGTTCTGAGTGTTGTAATGCTTCTACATTAATGCCAGCTACAAGCAATAACAGTTTTTTCACACTGATGATGGAATTTCAGCTTAATTTTTTTTCTTACCACCCCCCCCATCCAAGTAATTACATCCAGAGAGAATGCTCACAGTTATCTGTAAAAGTCACATTGCAACACTTTCCAGGAAACAGATATGTGAAACCAGAGACTCTTGGTCACTATATAACATACATCTGTAAAGGTTTCCCATGAAAATGATCATAAAATAAGTTGCCATTTGGAAATGTGTACAGGTGAAATCCTGTTAAAATGAACTAAAAGATACTTCCACAGCAAATCCACAGCTAAAGAAACTGAGGAATCCTTCATTGACAACATCATTGCATCTTGCTCAGAGGACACATCAGTAAGTAGGAAGTAAGACTAAGGTGGCTTTCCTCAATGGAAGATATATACTCTGATTCTCCATGCACTGGAAGGGAGGAAGGAAGGGAGGAAGGAAGGGAGGAAGGAAGGGAGGAGGAAGGGAGGAGGAAGGAAGGAAGGAAGGAAGAAAGGAAGGAAGGAAGGAAGGAAGGAAGGAGGGAAGGAGGGAAGGAGGGAAGGAGGGAAGGAGGGAGGGAGGGAGGGAGGGAGGGAGGGAGGAAAGGAGGGAGGAAGAAGGAAGGAAGGGAATGAAAAGGGAAGTGAGGGAAAGGAGAAAGGAAGGAGTAAGCAAAGAACACTTATAACTAGGGGAGCAGTTCTCTTTCTGCCCTTCAGTCTGACCTCCTTGTTCATACCCTGATCCTCCCTGGGAGGTGGTGAATTGGGGGGATAGGGTAGGATGTGAATTAAGACAAACAAGTATAAAATGATTTCACTGATTTTGAACTTTAGGGGTTTCACCTGTTCCAGTTGGCAGCAGGGGGAAACAGAACTAAACATAATTTAGGTGTCTTCTGAAGATGTGAACATGCAATTCATCAGTGGTAAGTGCTGTCTAAAGGAAAGGAGAGAGGGGTGTCATCCATGAAGCTCCTTGGGGACAGGGACTGTTTTTACCTAGCACAGTGCCTGGTGTGTTGTTAATGGCAGCATCCTAAGAAGAACATTAAACTTGGAGCTCCAGTTCTGCTGCCTACTAGGCCCTGACTTCCTCCCTTGTCGACTAGATGCTTTTCCTTGGATGGCATTGTAGGAGCCCATGTGCTATCTTTTTTTCAGTCTGATGTCTATTTATTTATTTTTAGTTTTCAACATTCACTTCCCACAAGATTTTGAGGTCCAAATTTTCTCCCCATCTCGTCCCTCTCTCCACCCTAAGATGGCATGCATTCTGAATACCCTTTCCCCTAATCTGCCCTCCCTTCTATTTCTCCCCCCTTCTCTTATCCCCTCCCTCTTCAATTTTCCTGTAGGGCAGGACAGATTTCCATACCCTATTTCCTGTATACCTTACTTCCCAGTTGCATGAGGAAACATTTTTTTTCTTTTAACACTTGTTTTTAAAATTTTGGGCTCCAAATTTTCTCCCTTCCTCCCTCCCCACCCACCCTTATTGAGAGGGCAAGCAACGCAATACAGGTTATACATGGGTAGTCATGCAAAACACTTCCACAGTTGTCATGTTGTGAAAAACTAAGTATATTTCCCTTAATCCTATACCACCCCCCATTTATTCTATTCTCTCTTTTGACCCTGTCCCTCCTTAGAAGTGTTTTCTTCTGTTACCCCCTCCCCTCTAATCTGCCTTCTCCTCTATTATTCCCCTGCTTTCTTGTCCCCTTCCTCCACTATTCTCCTGTAGGGTAAGATAGATTTCCATACCCAATTGAGTGTGTATGTTATTCCATTCTTAAGCCAAATCTGATGAGAATACGATTCACTCATTCCCTCAAACCTTCCCCCGTTTCCCTTCTACTGTAAAAGCCTTTTCTTATCTGTTTTATGTGAGATAATTTACCCCATTCTACCTCTCCCTTTCTCCTCCCAGTATAATCCTCTCACCCCTTAATTTTACTCTCCATATATCAGCCCTTCATCTTCAATTCACCCTATGCCCCTCCCCCTCTACATACATATACTTTTTCCCCTCCAACTATTCTAATACTGACAAAGGTCTCATGAGTTATAAATATCATCTTTCCAGGCAGGAATGTAAACAGTTCAACCTTAATGAGTCTCTTATGATTTCTCTTTCCTGTTTACCTCTTCATGTTTCACTCGTATTTGAAAGTCAAATTTTCTATTCAGCTCTGGTCTTTTCATCAGGAATGCTTGAAAGGCCTGTTTCACCGAATGTCCATTTTCTCCCCTGAAGGATTATACTCAGTTTTGCTGAGCAGATGTTTCTTGGTTGTAATCTTATCTCCTTTGCCCTCTGGAATATTATATTCTTTTTTTTGTTTGTTTGGCATATTATATCCTAAGCCCTCTGGTTCCTTAAGGTAGAAGCTGCTAAATCTTGTGTTATTCCTGATTGTGTTTCCACAATACTTGAATTGTTTCTTTCTGGCTGCTTGCAATATTTTCTCCTTGACCTGGGAACTCTGGAATTTGGCTACAATATTCCTAGGAGTTTTCCTTTGGGGATCTCTTTCAGGAGATTGGTGGATTCTTTCAATTTCTATTTCACCCTCTGCTTCTAGAATATCAAGGCAGTTTTCCTTGATAATTTCTTGAAAGATGATGTCTAGGCTCTTTTTTTGATCATGGCTTTCAGAGAGTCCAATAATTTTTAAATTCTCTCTCCTGGATCTATTTTCCAGGTCAGTTGTTTTTCCAATGAGATATTTCAGATTCTCTTCTATTTTTTCATTCTTTTAGATTTGTTTTACAGCGCCTTGATTTCTCAGAAAGTCACTAGCTTCCAATTGCTCCACTCTAATTTTTAAGGAAGTATTTTCTTCAGCAAGCTTTTGGACTTCCTTTTCCATTTGGCCAATTTTGCTTTTTAGGGCATTCTTCTCCTCACTGGCTTTTGGGATCTCTTTTGCCATTTGGGTTAGGCTATTTTTTAAGGTGTTATTTTCTTCAGCATTTTTTTGGGTCTCCTTTACCGTGACTCCCAGTTTTTCCTCTATTTCTCTTACCTGCTTCTCAAAATTCTTTCTGAGCTCTTCCATGGCCTGAGACCAATTCATAATTTCTTGGAGGCTTTGGATGTAGGAGCTTTGGCTTTGTTGTCTTCTGGTTGTATGTTCTGATCCTCTTTGTCACCAAAGTAAGATAATATAGTCTGACTCTTTTTGCGCTGCTTGATCATGATCCCAGCCAATTACTTGAGTTATAAACTCTTTGTTAAGGTAGGGGTCTGTTTCCAGTGTGGAGAATGTACTGTCGCAAGCTTCAGAGGTTTTGTGCGGCTGTTTTCAGAAATATTTCTAGAGACCTGTAAATTTTCAGTTCTTCCATGGTGCTATGATCAAAGGTGAGGTATTTACTCCTTTCCTGGCCTGTGCTCTGGTCTATGAGTGACCACAAGCACTCTTTTCTATCTTGCAACTGTGAGGAGGATTTTCTCTGCACCACCACTACAAGCTCCACCATGCCAGCACTCCCCCTTGCCCCAGGACCGCCACCCAGAACCGTGACCCAGATCCAAGCACAAGCAAAGCAAGAGAATTCTGCACCAGCAGAGACATCCCTGCAATCCCCCTCTGATCAGCCACTCGATTCCCCCTCAGTCTGTGAGCTGGAAGCTCAGGGGGCAGCCGCTGCCCTGGGGCCAAGCCTGGAGACTGGAGCTGAGACCACCACGCCTGCCTCTCTCTCTCTCTCTCTCTCTCTCTCTCTCTCTCTCTCTCTCTCTCTCTCTCTCTCTCTCACTGCAGACACAGACTTTTCCCACTAACATTCGAAGTTGTCTTTGGCATTCGTGGGTTGAGAAGTCTGGAAACTGCCACAGC